GGGGCAGGCTCCAGCTGGCTCTGCCAGAGGGGGAGGACCTGCAGGGATGGGAGGGGCCGGCAGCCTTTCTTCCAGCAGGGCCCAGCTGGAGCCGGACTGGGGGTGGGGGGGCAGAAGTACTTCAGGGGACAATGAGGGGAGCAGCTGGTGAGGGGCAGGTTGGAGCCATCTGTGGCCCCTTGGCTTTTGCTCCAGGTCCGGGACAGTGACCCCAGTGACCCCAAAAGAGAGACCATTGTCCAGCTCATTGATGACTTCAGGATTTCAGGGGTTAATGGAGTCCGTATCCTTTGCAGGAGGAGCAAAGCAGTGTGACAGCAAAGGGGCCAACTCATGCCTTCCTAGCTACTAGTGCCTCAGTTTGCTTATCTGCACAATGGGGCTTTATCCCTTCCAGTGATACTAGTCTATGAAATGACCCCATCCCTTTGGGGATTGGTGTTAACAGGAGTGGAGGCAAGGAGTGCGTAACCAGGTTGGCAGTGGTTATCCGTCGATGTTGCTGAGTTACCCCCAGAAGGCAGGGATGCCTCCATGGCAGTGCCTTCCCTTTGGGGACTGCCAAGAGGCCCCTGAGCATAGCTGGGCATAGGAGTGGGGCTGGCCTGAGAGGCCTCTATGTCTGTTTCTCCAGTGCCCTGTCTCTACCATGACCACGAAATGTATGATCCCAGTTGGTATGCTTCTGAGAGTGATAGGGACACTCTAAATAAGGACGCTAGGACAGTGGTGACCACCAGGACTGCTCAGGGCAAGCCCTGCCTCCCCCACCTCTTCACTGCCCAAGCCTTGTTGACGCCCCCCAAGGATGGGCGGGACTGTGACCCAGCTACGCGCCCACTGGCCACCCTTCACTCCAAGCCACAGATGTGTGCATGGTGCTGGAGGTCCTGGGCCACCAACTCCTCAAGTGGATCATCAAGTCCAACTACCAGGGCCTGCCTGTGCCCTGCGTGAAGAGCATCGTGAGGCAGGTGAGTGCTGCCCACTAGGCATCCCAGCCCAGCCTGGGTGGAGCTGGTGGAGTTCAGGTGTGGCTCTTCTCAGGTGCTGCATGGCCTGGACTACCTCCACACCAAGTGCAAGATCATCCACACAGACATCAAGCCCGAGAACATTCTGCTGTGTGTGGGTGACGCCTACATCAGGCGCCTGGCTGCTGAGGCCACAGAGTGGCAGCAGTCAGGGGCACCACCCCCGTCCCGCTCCACAGGTACTAGGAGCCTGTGTGGGGCTGGGCTAGGGCCTCTGGGCCTCTGTCCCTGCCTGAGTCTCCGCTCTTTTCTCTCCCCGTCCCCCACCTGCACCCCAGTCAGCACTGCCCCCCAGGAGGTCCTGGTAAGTTGGGGCACCCCTTTTTGCCTGTGCCTCCTGTCCCCATCTGAGTCAGCTGGAGGCCATCTCCACAGAGCTCACCTCCTCAGCCACACTGGTTCCGCCCCTCCCACCTCCATGGGTCACCTGCGGTGGCACTTCTGAAAGGCTGGGTGGTTCAGATGAGGGTGATACGTAGGGTGGGTCACGCACCTCAAAATACCCCTGGTGGCCACTGGGCTCACCCCTCAGTGGAAGGATGTGTGTCTTCCCCTGATGGTTACTTCAGGTCGCCTCAGCTGGGACTGTGAGGGGACAGGGGGCCGTCTGAAGCAGACCTTTAGAGAGTAGAGGGACAGGAGGGGAGGCAGGGAGATGGGTGAGGGGCTGGTACCAAGAGGCAGGCCACAGTGGTGGCACCACATTCCGGCGTCCATGGGAGCCCTGGGGTCTGGAAGCCTTGTCACTTGTGAGGTGTGCAGGCCACGGCAAAGGCTGACTGGGGAGGGCGACGGGAACCCTGGGGTGACCCTGGCTCTGACGGCAGACCGGTAAGCTGTCCAAAAACAAGAGGAAGAAGCTGAGGCGGAAACGGAAGCAGCAGAAGCGGCTGCTGGAGGAGCGGCTGCGGGACCTGCACAGGCTGGAGGCCATGGAAGCGCAGGCCGAGGGTGAGGGCCGGGTTGGAGGGCCGGGGGGGGGCGCCGGGCTGCCAACGCACACGCGGCCGCAGGGGCGTCTGCTCATGCGCCTCCTCCTCCCCATCTCCCCAGACTCTGGCTCCAGACTAGAGGGGGGCAGCGGCTCCACCTCCTCTTCGGGCTGCCACCCTGAGGGTACCCGGTCAGGCCCCTCCCCTGCATCGTCCTCCCCAGCCCCAGGGGGCAACCGCAGCCTCAGCCCCAGCTCACAGACCTCAGGCTTCTCGGGCTCCCTTTTCTCTCCCGCCTCGTGCTCCATCCTCTCAGGCTCGTCCAATCAGCGCGAGAACGGGGGCCTCCTCTCACCCAGCAGTGAGTTGGGTGGCAGATGGCGGGTGGCGGGTGGCGGGCAGGCCGGCCCGAGAGAAGCCAGGCCACCTCAGGCACTCTCCCTTCTCTTCCCTCCCCAGCACCATTTGGTGCCTCAAACCTCCTGGTGAACCCCCTGGAGCCCCAAAATGCAGACAAGATCAAGATCAAGATCGCAGACCTGGGGAACGCCTGCTGGGTGGTATGAGCAAGCCTTGGAGAGCACAGTTGGGGACCCTGGTCTGAGGGTGGAGGCTCAGGCCTGCTCTTGGGGAGCCCCTCCCCGGGCCTGCAATGCACACGACCCAGTGGCTCAGCCAAGGCTCATTCAGCAGCCCACTTGATCAGAGCTGCGGTCTGCTGCATGCCATGGGCCCAAACCACCGAAGCGAGCCATGGCTAGGGGCAAGGAACCAGTGGGAGGGGGCCAGCCCCTCTGAGGACACGAGAGCAAGCCCCGCCAAGCTCCTTGGGTGCACAAACGAAGGTGCACGGCAGGAGTGGGGGTCAGCGGGATAGGCCAGGCTCGGCCCTGGATGCTGTCCCCAGGACTCCCCTTGCCTCCAGCACAAGCACTTCACCGAAGACATCCAGACACGGCAGTACCGGGCCGTGGAGGTGCTGATCGGCGCCGAGTACGGCCCCCCTGCAGACATCTGGAGCACGGCGTGCATGGTAGGCCCGCCTGCCCCCCGCCTAGGGCCGGCCTGCCTGCCACAGCCTCACCCTCTCCCGCTTCCAGGCCTTCGAGCTGGCCACCGGCGACTACCTGTTTGAGCCCCACTCTGGAGAAGACTACAGTCGCGATGAGGGTAGGAGGGAGGGGCAGGCCCTGCGCGGGCCCGGAGCCTCCCAGCCTCCCACAGGCCTCCCAACCCCTCTCTGCCCACAGACCACATCGCTCACATCGTGGAGCTCCTGGGGGACATCCCCCCGACCTTCGCTCTCTCAGGCCGCTACTCCCGAGAGTTCTTCAACCGCAGAGGTGCGGGCCAAGCAGGCTCAAGCCACCTGCCTATGGGGAGGTTGGGGCGGGGACCTCGGATTCTGAAATAGAGGGCACGCTGGGTCCCAGCAGCCAAGTGCAGGCAGGCGTGCAGAGCCTGATGCCGCCTCCCCTGCCCCCAGGAGAGCTGCGGCACATCCACAACCTCAAGCACTGGGGCCTGTACGAGGTGCTCATGGAGAAGTACGAGTGGCCCCTGGAGCAGGCCACGCAGTTCAGCGCCTTCCTGCTGCCCATGATGGAGTACATCCCCGAGAAGCGGGCCAGCGCGGCCGACTGTCTCCAGCACCCCTGGCTCAACCCCTAGCCCCACATGGCTTTGGGCAGCTTAGGGCAGGCCAGGCTCTGCCCCCAGCTCTCAGTGCCTTGAGGGGAAGCCAGCCCCCTCCCCCCCATGGCTAAGTAGATTGATGCCGGGCCAGGCCCATCTTTCAGAATTTGTTCTGCCCAACATCCTCCTCGAGGGTCCTCTGAGTGGGAAAGTGTGTGTGGTTCTTTCTTAATAAAGTGTGAACTGGAACACCACCGTCCTTGACTGAGGGAGGCATGTGACAGAGGTCCAGGGTAAAAGCTCGTTTATTCTGGGGTCTGCCTACCGCACTGACCGGGGTGCTGGAGTGAGAAGGGGGGTCTAGGAGTGGGTTTCCACGGTCCCAGGGCCAGCCTAGGCCTCCACAGCCCGGCCATTAATGATGCGGATGTGGCGGATGATGTCCTGGATGGCTTCGGACGTAGTACCCTGGCCCCCGATGTCTGGGGTGTGCATCTGTCAGAGAAGGGCAAGCTCGGGCACATCCCAGGCCTCGCCAATCACCCACCCCTACCTCATAAGTGGCCCATGGCTGTTCACTGTCTCCCATGGCTTGCAGGGGCTGGAACTGCCACCAGAAGGGCAGTGGTACCAGCTAAGGCCCAGAAGCCCTGCCTTACCTGGTACCACCCTCCCTTGGGGCTGCAGTCAGTGCTGGGTTGCCATCTCCAGCCCCTCAGACTGGTCACACTAGCTGAACATGGGCTAGAGAAAGGGAGGCGGGGGTGGAGGGGGGCAGGAAGAGGACAAGAGGAGCCTCACGTTTTCATTGTCCATAGACGCCAAGACGGCCTTGCGGATGGACGAAGCATAGGAGTGGAGCCTAGAGGAGAGAGAACAGCCTTCAGTCCTCGGGGCCTAGGGCTGGCCAGGGGCCAGCAGCCGGGCACCAGAGCCACTCACTTGAGGTGGTCGAGCATCATGCAGCTCGCCAGCAATGTAGCCGTGGGGTTGGCGATGTTCTTATTGGCAATACTCTTGCCTGTGTTCCTTGTAGCCTGGAAAAGGCAGGACGAAGGATGGTGGGTGGTTCCACTCATGTGAAGTGTCCAGGACAGACAGCAGAGGAGGGGTGCTGGGGGCTGGGGAGGGGCAGGGGGAGAGACTGCTAACCGCTATGGGGTTTCCTTTCGGGGTGACAAAAACATTTTGGACTTGGATAGAGGTGATGGCTGCATGACTCTGGATATCCTAAAAACCACCGAGTGCACTGGGAACAGGGAGCAGCACAGTACACAGGGCACCTCCCAAGGGCTGTTAAGGAGACAGACGGCAGGGCTGTCCCGAGCGGCACGGTGGAGGTGGCACTCACTGTCTCAAACACCGCATACACGTGGCCATAGTTGGCCCCAGCCACGAGGCCTGGGCCCCCGACCAGCCCTGCGCAGACGTTGTTGACGATGTTGCCATAGAGATTGGGCATCACCATGACATCAAACTGCTGGGGCCGGGACACCAGCTGCGGGACAAGGAGGGGGCTGAGGAGCAGACTTGGGAGCACCAGTGCAAGAAGCCCAGGGCACCCATGACGGGAGGTGAGAGAGCCAGGCGGGCTAACTACCTGCATGGTGGTGTTGTCCACAATCATGTTCTCAAAGGTGATCTGGGGGTAGCGAGCCGCCACTTCCCTGCAGCACTGGAGGAAGAGCCCATCACCCAGTTTCCTGAGGGGACATAGGACGTTGGCTGGACCCATCGCAATAGGCAGCTGGAGGGACATGGCGTGCAGAGGGCTGTCGAAGGCTGAGGTCTAACTTCTAAGGTGTCCCTCAGTGTAGGACAAGCATAATCCTGTTCCACCTTCCCTCAGAGGCAGCAGGGCACACACCTGGGTGTGGCCCCGCTGGTAGGTGGCCAGGGTCCTAGACCCCAAGTACCGGAGAGCAGGCCCATGCAGGCTGCTTGCAGAGAGGGTGGGAGGGAGGGGACATACATGATGTTGGCCTTGTGCACAGCCGTCACTTTCTTGCGCCCGCTCTCCTGGGCCAGCTTGAAGGCGTATTCAGCAATGCGCAGGGACTTGGCCTTGGTGATGATCTTCAGGCTCTCCACCACTCCTGCCACACTCTGACAAGGGGACAAGGGAAAAGACACCCGTGTCCTGTCAAAGCCTATCCTCTGGGCCGGCCCGTGGCTCACTCGGGAGAGTGCGGTGCTGATAACACCAAGGCCCCGGGTTCAGATCCCATATAGGGATGGCCGGTTCGCTCACTGGCTGAGCGTGGTGCTGACAACACCAAGTCAAGGGTTAAGATCCCCTTACCGGTCATCTTTTTAAAAAAAAAAAAAGCCTATCCTCAGGGAGCCCACTGGAGAGCCAAGCTGGCTGAGCAAGCTGGTGTGACAGGGTCACAGAGGGAAGCAGCCCTGTCTCTGAGTATTTCCAGCTTCTCCCTTGGGCACGGCCCCCTACCCTTGGGGGTACACCTCTTCTCCTGGTTCCTTAAGGTCGCCCCTTAAGGAGACCCTGACCAAGCTCATCTCAGTGCCCCGTAACCCAAGAGGGTCACCCAGGACTTGCCCACCTCATGCTCCAGGCTGCTGTACTCGCCTTCGGTGTTTTCCCGAACGATGAGGATGTCGATGTTCTTGTGCCGGGTCACTACTCCTGGCAGGCTCTTACAGTGGATGACATTGGCGTAGAGGTCCAAGCTGGTGCTGGGAGGGAAACAGAGAAAGAGGTAGGCTAGACCTTACTGGCAGCTGGCACATCCCACCCTGGCCTCCACGAAGCCACTGCCTCATGCACTTGGCTCTCACCGAAGGATGTTGTTTCGGGATTTGTGGGACGGTGGCAGGTTATGATTTGTTTCAATGTTGCCTAGGGAACAGAAACGAGACAAGTTGGCTGGAGACAGGCCCCCAGGCTCAGCCGTGCTGCTATACTCCCTTTCCTGACCCCAGGAATGTGCACCAAGGGCTGTTCTAATAGCAGAGGATGGCTTACAGCAGCAAAAACACTTCATGGGACACTAGAATGTAACTTCCAACATACATCCCATTAGGGAAGAAAGGTGTGTGTGCTCACGGATGTGTTTCAAGGACCTAGAAGAGCCCTGGGACACAGCAGGCACTCAATAAATGTTCACTGAATGAGTGAGTGAACAAATGAATGAGTGAATGACGGTTGGCAGCTGGCCAGGAGACCCTGCCATTCCATGCCCAGGGTCTGGCTTGACAGAAAGAGACCACCCCTGCTTATTAACAGGCTGGCTGGTCAGGCCAGCGCCAACAAGGTGACCTTGGCCAGGGTTACTGCCAGGCCTTGTGTTGAGCGCCACATGAGCCCAGCCCAGGTGTGGGCAGGGGCTGCCTGGAAAAGGCCACATGGCCCTGCCAGGGCACCCAGAGGAAGGGAAGCAGGGGCCCAAGAGCCACTGGGAGAAGGTGGTCAGAAGGTGCCAGGCAGAGAGGCCTTTCTCAGCAGCCTAGAGGGCTGCCTGCCCCTCTGACCTCCACCCTGCCACACTGCCTTCGCCCAGAGTGCCTAGGGCACCCTGTGGCCGGCAGGTAGACCCCTCGTGACTACGGGGACCTGGGGCCCTACCTGGGCTCGCCTTTGTTCACACGCCCCTCCCACAAGGCAAGTGAGTGGCTGAAGAGTGCAGGGTGAAGGACGGAGGCAGTTTACCAACCTGGAGCAGACCAAGACAAACTCAGGCAGAGGGGGCAGGCAGAGGGGCAGCACTACGTCTCTGTGACGGCTGGTTTGTGAAGAAAGACTTGGGCAGGGGGGCAAAGCTGACCCCAGCAGAGAGGCTGCCTCAGGAAGGAAGGAGGAGCAGGAGGCAGCCTGTCCCTGGACAGGCTCACACACAGCCTACTGCCACCAAGACCTCAGAATCATAGCATGAACAGTCCCCACAGAAGCTTCCGCCCAGTCTCCAATACAGGGGTCCTCTCTAGCCAGAAAAGCCCTGAAATCGGAGCTATAGGGCCCCACAAGAGTCAATTTGGAGGTGACAGGAATCGTGCACAGTGCCCCATCCTGGCCCCCAGTCCCCGAGCTCACCCTTCAGGGCCACACGGTTCCGACGGATGGCCATGATGGCATTACGGATGTCCTCTTCGTCACCATTGGAGGTCACGTGCACCTCTTCAAAGTCCACCGGCACACACGCGTGTCTGGGGCAGACCCAGGTCAGGGGTTGGCCCAAGGTCTCCCCTGTACCTCCTCCAAGAGGCCTGCCAGGCTGCTGCCTGCTCTGACCCAGCTCTGACTTAGAGACTGGGCCCATCTGCACCAACTGACGGGGATGCGCTTGAACTCCACAATGCACGCTATTAGTAGGATAGATGCCAACTTCCCTGTGCCCAGGCCAGCCCAGGAGGGGTCAGAGGAACTGGGACACAAGGCTTAGGCTTACAGTCCCTCCTGCCACCACCTCACCAGGTGCTCGGGCACAGCACCCGCCAGTGGGCTTCTGGGCTCACTGTTCCTCTTAACACAAAGTTCTCAGGGCTCCCTTGGCTGGGCCCAGGGCACAACCTTCCCTACGAGGTGAGGCAAAGGGAAGTGGGCCCAGGGGCTCCATACCTGAACACAGACTTGACATGCAACATCAGCTCCGGCCCAATGCCGTCCCCTGGGATCATAGTCACAGTGTGCCGCCCACCATACTTAGCTGACGGAGGCTAAAAGGAGGAGGAGGGGGAAGGGGAGGGCACACCTTCTGGTATCTGCACATGTTCCCCAGCTCGTTACCCAGGAGCTCAAGCTGGTTCCCTTCTTCCCACCAGCATTGATCCCACAGGCTGACCAGTCAAGAGATGACAGCTCTGGATACTGCCATCCCAGACAGGGCTGCTCATCAGAGGCTTCCTGGTTGCAGCAGCCCCCACTCCCACCTGGACTTGAGTCAACCTCAAAGCAACTCCGAGCCCCCTGAATCTAACAGGCAGAGGAGGAGAAGAATACTCACAATTGTTTGTTGCTAGAGGGGACAGAAAGGAAGAAGACACGGATCAGCCAAGGTTGGGGAACAAGGGAAGGGCCAGGGGCAGGTGACCTCTAGAGACCATGCCTCAGAGGGGAGGACCCGGAGGGCCAGGAGGAAAGAGGCGGAGGTGCGTGCACACACACACGTGAACACGGACACGCACGCGCACACATGCACGAGCACACACATGGCCAGGTACTTACTGAGGAGATGCTCCTCCGGGGGGCCTCGTGGGCACCTAAAACCTGGCAAAGAGAAGCCAAATGCCAGTGTTTGTCATCCAGCCCAAAAAGTGAAGTTGGCAAGAGCTGGCAGAGCTCTCCGCAGGGAATAAGGACTGTCCCCATCGAGCCCAGCTAGGCCCCTACCCGTGCACCACCCCCCAGTGAACATCACCCAACAAATGGCTGCACAGCCTCTGTGTCCCAGGACTGGCCCACGGATGAACCACCAAAGGCTGTTCCAACCCTTTCTGCTCCTCCAGCTCTTAGGCACTTTATTGAAATACTTTTGTGTCCCCTGCTCGTTTTTGGTTTTTTCCACTTCTTATTCTTTTGGGGCCAATTATTCCTGCTCAGCAATGTTTGTAATACGAAAAAGTTAGCAAACTAAACATGGTACAATAGGAAAATAATTATAACCACTGGTCTAGGACAATGATCATTTTATCGTTTATCATTTTTTCTTACTACAAAAGCAGCATAAGGTCACTGTGGAAAAAGCAGAACAGGGAGATAAGAAGATAGCTCCTGGCCTCCTGGAGACAAGCACTGCCCGGCCCTGGGGAACAGCCCTTCATAGTTGGAAGTCAAAAGCACGCATTTAGGGAAATCCAGCCATTTCTGGAAGATTGATAACAGACATCAACCTGTAGGAGGGTTTTCATAAAGGACTGCAAAACTGCTTCGTGGCCTAGATGGACAATGAATGTCCCCAACCCCCTGACTGGGAAACAGCCTTGTTTAGTCACGCCATGCCACACCTGACAGCTTCAGAGCAAACGCTGCCTGAGCCAAAGGTGCCAGGTGCTGAGAGTGACCCACTGTCCTGGAGCAAAAAGCCTGTGTCCCAGATCCCTCTGCAGGAGGGCTTTCCTCCCCTCCCTGTTGTGCCCACCTAGGAACACACCCAAGGAGGTAGTGGCAGAGCCAAGGTCTTCCTTATCACTTGGAGATGCCCTGCCACCTGCCCACTAGGCAGCTGCAGAACGTTCCAGCCAAACAAAGGCAGCGGCACTATGGCCACTTTACAAAGAGCAGGGCCTTCCTGGGACAAGTCCAGAAGGCTCAGGTGGAGGCTGACCATTCCTGGTCTGGGTCTGCCTGGCTGGTACTCATGAGGAGCCCACTTGCCTGTGTGCTGGCAGGGCAGGTGTGCCACTCACTGGCCCAAGCAAGGGGCTACAAGGGGGTGGCCACTGGGGGCAGAGCCCCCAGGGTACCTCAGCTGATCTATGTGGCAACTGGACCTGCAGCCACAGGCACACTTGGGACTTTTCTGTCTTCTTTCTAGCACTTATCAGTATCTGGATTTATCTTATTTGCAGGCTCTCTACACAAGTTCATAGAAGGTGGCTTAGACAGCCCTTCCTCCAGGAAGCTTTCCCTTACCCCCTAAGGCTGCTGAGCTGGGCTCCCAAGGCCCTACCCACTCCCTGCCCCCTACCATCTAGGGACATCTCCCTAGGTTACTGCTGCCCTGCTCTCTCCCCAATCCCTATGCCCCTGAGAGCAGAGGCCGTGTCTGTCTGGTCCTCCGCTGACACCCCAAAACCAGCCAGAGCTGGGACAAAAGGAACATTTCCTGAGTGAAGCACATCAGAAAATGAAGAAAGACAGGGCAACCAGGGAGACCTCAGTCCAAATCCACCATCCACTACTCGGGATGGCTTCATGTCCTCATCTGAAATCCACAAAATAGAGGCACCTACTTTTATTATGTGACTGTTGGAAAGATTAAGCAAGAGGAGGCACACAAGCTGTGCATAGTCCCTAGCAGGGCTGACAGGCTGTGCTAAAGCATGCAGCTCCCTCACCACATCAGCCCCTCAGGTCGGAGTTTAAGGCTGGCATCCCTGGGGGAAGCAGGGCTGACTCCTGCAGCTACCAGCAGTAATTCCACCAGGGCTGAACCTCTCCCACACCTGGTCCCTCTGCCAGATGTTCCTTCAGGTTTCGGCCAAAGACCCAGAGACACGTCCAGATGGAGACTTCCCTGACCTGGCTGTACACATGCAGGCCCCTTCCTGCATTGGGTTCCAAAGGCTCTGCCTCACACCCCAGTGAGATACGAATCCAAGGAGCCCGGTATGAGGCAGGAAGAGATATGCACGGGCCTGCATCATCCATCATCCTTTGTTAGTTCCACAAAAACAAAGCGGTCCAGGGTGGTAAGAGCTCCCGTTGAGGGGCTCCTACACTCCATCTTACTGAGGCTTCTTTCTTTGGCACAGTTCTGTCGGATCACGTGCCAATGGTAGCTGCGTGCTTTCCCATGAGGTCCCAACTAGCAGGATCCAATCTATGGGGCTCCTCTCTAAGGGCTCCCATAGCTAGGACGATCAGTCTCAGGGCAAGACAGAGCCTGGCTACCAACTGTTCACTGCAGCCCACTCCTGCCCCAACGCTGTACACACACAAGCACACACATAGACGTCAGGGAGAAGACAAATGTCTTCACCAAAAGCCTGCAGGAGCAGGCTTCGGCCCCAGGGCCAGTGCTGGCTCACTGCTGCTTCAGATAGCTTACAACCCACCCAGGACCTAAGTTATCCTCGTCTTAAATGTGTGTAAGGAGAGAGGAATCGAACCTGAATAACCAAGACCCCATGGAGAGAATTGCAGAATCAAAGGCCCCGCGGCCTCCCGCCCCTGCCAGCCTCTAATTCCAGGCGCCTGGGGGGAAAGCACCCGGGACTCTAAGAATATGGGAGGGATCAAGGGTGACTGGCAAATTCCGATTCTCCACCTGCCCCGAGAAAGGCGGCAAAGCGGTCCACGAAAGGGAAACCCGAGGAGAAATTGAGTCCGGGAACGGGATTCGCGAGGCGGTAGGAGCCAGGCTGGCCGGAACACGTGACAGCCTCAGGAGGGCTCCCACAAGGACACCAGGGAGGTGGCACTCGGCCGCCGCGGCCCACCCTCCTGGCCCGTCCGGAATCCCCCGCCACCAGATGCAAACCCCTGGGGGAGCCGGCCCGGGCCCACTTGGGCCAGTCTCCCTCACCGCGGAGGCGGCCAATCAACCCCGGCGTGAGCCCCTCTCCCCGCCCCTCGCGGGACCCACAAGGCGCCTGGGGGGAAAGCACCCGGGACTCTAAGAATATGGGAGGGATCAAGGGTGACTGGCAAATTCCGATTCTCCACCTGCCCCGAGAAAGGCGGCAAAGCGGTCCACGAAAGGGAAACCCGAGGAGAAATTGAGTCCGGGAACGGGATTCGCGAGGCGGTAGGAGCCAGGCTGGCCGGAACACGTGACAGCCTCAGGAGGGCTCCCACAAGGACACCAGGGAGGTGGCACTCGGCCGCCGCGGCCCACCCTCCTGGCCCGTCCGGAATCCCCCGCCACCAGATGCAAACCCCTGGGGGAGCCGGCCCGGGCCCACTTGGGCCAGTCTCCCTCACCGCGGAGGCGGCCAATCAACCCCGGCGTGAGCCCCTCTCCCCGCCCCTCGTGGGACCCACAGCCAATCGTACTGCAGGCTGCTCCAGGAGCGGCTGCCCCACCGCCCCTCAGCGAGCGCTGCGGCCATCCCGTGGCCTGCTTCCCCCTCACCTCCCAAGGGCGGCAGAAGACGGCTGGCCTGAGCACTGCCTTCGTAGCGCCGCCGGCGGCCCTCACCACCTTCAGCGCCATGACGGAAAGTAAGAGCCGCCGTACGTCCCCACACGCAGATATCGGTATCGCGAGAGTTCGGCGAAGTCCCGGGGGCAGGCGTGAGCCCGGCAGTGCGCACGCGCGCGGCCGCACGGGTTCCCAGGCCGTCTTCCGGCGCCTCGAGCGCCGCCGCCATCTTGGGGGAGGTGCGACGAACTGGAGCCCGGGCTCGGGGAGGGGACACGTCAGTGCCGCCAGCGACGTCACGAGGCCGGCGCGGCCGGCCGGCGCACAATTGGCTGCCGCGGCCTCTTACGCGTCGCGCTTCCTCGTCTGCCCCTCGTGTTCGCGGGAGCTAGCTCTCTTGTCCCCTCGGCAGAGAAGAGGCGATGGTGGCGATGGCATCTCTCGGCGCCCTGGCGCTACTCCTGCTGTCTGGCCTCTCCTGCTGTTCAGGTAGCGGCCTGGCCGGAGCTTGTTTCTGGCGAGCCTCTGTCCCACGGCAGGTGGTTCTTGGGGGAGGACGGGTGTTGGCGAAGCGGGGGTTTGACCCCTCCCGGGGCCCGTCGCTGCGGGCCAGGCCTTCCTTCGAGAGGCAGGTGGCTCGGGGCGCGGCGACCAAAGCATCACACGCACGTTCACCCAGCAGCCAGGCTGCTGGAAGAAACAGCCAAATCTTTCCCTTGGCTGCTTGAGCGAAGAAGAGTCTCAGAGCCTCTACCGTGCTCTCTGCCCCAGTACCAGCAGGGAAGGTGACACAAGTCCCTCGTCCCAGTCCTGGGCCCGGAGGAGGGTCGGACCAGTAGCAAAGCTCTACAGCCCCAAGAAACAGGGCTGGCGGAGAGGAACCACCTGAGCCGGGGCGTTGCGTGCCAGGCTTCCCTGGCAAGTGAGAGTTAAGGATGAGAGGAGCAGGATGTTCCGGACAGAGGGGCGGAGAACGAGAGCCGGGCCTTAGGGAGCCAAGGAGCGGAGCGGGGCTTGGGTGCCACGCCGATGACTTGCTTTTTCTTGAGGCCCTGGCCTATCCTTACCAGGGTCCTGGCAGAGTTGAGCCATAGTCCCATCGATTTCCATTCTAGACTGATTCTCAACACCTGGTGGTGGGGTCGAGCACTGACTGGAGTCCAGAAGTGTGTTTATGTTTAGGAGGTTATTGCAGCAGCCAGCACCAGGTCTGGGGGCCTGGACTGGGCAGGGGCTGCACATTCATTTTCCTGCCTACTTCAGGCCACCGCCCTTGGTGCCTGGAACAGTTTGCCAGCCTAACTGGCCTCCCTGCCTCTGCACCCTTGTCGCCCACCCCACAGGATTTCCCCGCGCTGTAGCCAGGGAGGTTTCGAAAGGACAAACGTGGCTGTCAACCCTCCAGGGCTCCACACTGTCCACAGGAAAAAGGCCCAGCTTAGGGCACAGAAGGGCCTGAGGGATCTGGCCTCTGAGAACCGCCCCCAGCGCTGTTCCCTGGCACCTTCCTCCTGCTGCCCAGACCCACAGCCTTCTCTGACTTCCTCAGCTTGAGCCGTCACTCTGCCAGGACACCACTTTCGGAGAGCAGCTGGCTAAGGACTTTCCCGCTTGGGGTAGCACTTGCTTCACGCCCCCTGATTAGGTGGCACCCTTCCTTTCCTGTGGCCCTCTGCGGGCATGGAGATGCCTCAGACAGGGTCCTTTCTCTCAGGGCTGCCCAAATGAAGGGGACAAGTGGTGCTTCTGGATACAGAGCCTCTCCCATTTACTTCCCTTGGGAAACGCTGGGGCAGAGACCCTTTCCCTCATTGAAAGACTCTCTCGGTGTCTCTCCTGAGGACACCTTCAGTAAACTGGGCTGTGCATGGCTCTGAATTGAGGCTGGCCTGGCCCCCTGGGCTTCTGGGGTGCCCCAGGCTGTCGTGTGGCTTCCCTGTGGTACGTCCAGGCACTGACACCCACCCCACAGACTCGCTTGCTCTTCCTTCCCCACTGCGTCGAGGTCCTGCCTCTATGAAGCCTGCCCTGCCCCTCCCCAGCCTGCCTTCACGCCTGTTCCTCCACCCCCTTGCCACTGCAATTCTGACTGAGCATTTGGCTCTGTCTCCCAGACCCCACCTGGCAGGGGCAGAAGGGCCCTGTGTGTCCTTACTCAACAGGGTCTGGGAGGTGGGGCCAGGGCAGTCCCTTCTGCCCTCAGCCCAGCACGCATAAGGCACAAGCCAGCTTTGCCCAGGTATCTCTCTACCTCCTCCCCGCAGCAGAGGCCTGCATGGAGCCCCAGATCACCCCTTCCTACTACACCACCTCGGATGCTGTCATTTCCACCGAGACTGTCTTCATCGTGGAGATCTCCCTGACGTGCAAGAACAGGGTCCAGGTGAGGCAGTGGGGGTTCAGCCAGGACAGTGCTGGGTGAGAGGTGGGCATGGGTGCACCTAACTGGCAGTTGACAGACCTGAGGACCTGTGTCAACAGAGGGATAATAAGGATTCCACTTCACAGGATGCAGGAGAGGTCAGGGCCCAGCAAGCCCAGATTCTAGCAAGTGTTTGAAGATCATTTTCCTAACCTGCTCGGTATGCTTTGCCTACATGCAGGAACACTGGGTAGACACCCTGCTGTTTCCTGAGTGAGTGTCTGTGGAAGGTGAGAAAGGGCTGGGGTCAGCCCCCCGACTCCTCCATCCCTTTTCTGGCTGCTGTTTGCCAGAGTGTGTATCTATGTGGGGGTTTTGTAAGTTCAAGATTGAGGAGCCGTGGCCTCGGCATCTGGCAGGAAGTTCAGCCTTTCTTGGGTACAGCACTCTTTTGATGAAACACACCTTGGGCAGCTCATTTGGCACCCCCTGATCCCAGCACCCCCTTTGCAGGCTAAGAAAAACAAGGACATTTTGATCATCCCACCTCTGTTCACAGTTAACAGGCTTGCTGTGGGTCAAGTTGGGTCAGGCCATAGGGGAATCTGACCCTATCCCCCTACCAGAGGAGACAGTGATGCATCAGGGGTGTTGGTTCCCTAGCACAGCTCTGGGTGTTGGCTGGCCATCCTTTGTAGCTCTTGCACGGTGTCCCTTGCCAGACACTGCAGCCTGCAACTGGGCCTGGCCTCCCTGCCCTAGCGCTGCTATGGGCAGCACAGTGGGGCCTCAGCCCATGCCCAGAGAGGGAAGAAGGTGACTCTCCCTTTGTCTCCTCACCCAGAACATGGCTCTTTATGCTGACGTCAGTGGAAAACAATTCCCTGTCACCCGGGGTCAGGATGTGGGGCGTTATCAGGTAAGGGATGCCCAGTTTGGGGTTACTGGGGGAGGCTACCTGTCCATGAGCATGACTGGAAGCCTTGGGGGTGGCCCAGTTGAGCAGGGTCAGGGTTCATGGACTCAGGGGCTACTGGTAGTGGTACTGTGTCAATGCTGGCAGGGCATCCCCTCGTGTCCACCATGCCCACCCCCTGCCAAATACACCCAACCCAGGTGTCCTGGAGCCTGGACCACAAGAGCGCCCATGCGGGCACCTATGAGGTCAGATTCTTCGACGAGGAGTCCTACAGCCTCCTAAGGAAGGTGAGGATTGCCTGGAGGCCCTCCGAAGCTGGAAGGAGGAGGGGCACCCCTGTGCCTGCAGCGATCTCTACCCTGCTCACCCTGTGGTCCCCTCCCTGGAGCTCTGGCCCACTAGGGGCCGCACTCACGTAGAGCAGGATGGGCCAGGTCGGAGAGGCACTGGCAGCAGCTTTCCAGCCAGGCAGGAACCTTCCTGTGCTCCCGCCCCACCTGTCCCTTCCTCATTTGTCTCTTGCACATCTCTCTCCTTTCCTTTTCCGTGGCTTGGGCCAGTGTTCCTGCCTCTCCCACCCCTTCCCACCCCACCCAGGCTGCCCATTCGGTGCCTCCTGACCCCAGCACCTCCCTTCCAGGCTCAGAGAAATAATGAGGACATTTCGATCATCCCACCCCTATTCACGGTCAGCGTGGACCATCGGGTGAGTGGCCTGGTCCCAGGGGAACAGGAACACACAGCACACCTCTTCTATTTTGGGGGGTCAAGGCTGAGTGAAGGTTCTCGTCCTCTCTGCCTGCTGGGCCATGATTGGCCAGTGTGTCTTTGGGTCCCTCACGTTGGGTGACCGAAGCTGGCTTGTCCACTTGCCTCCTCTCCACCTTCCGAGCTGGCTTTTAATTTTGTTTCTTGTAGGGCACGTGGAACGGGCCCTGGGTCTCCACTGAAGTGCTGGCCGCAGCAATCGGCCTAGTGATCTACTACTTGGCCTTCAGCGCAAAGAGCCACATCCAGGCCTGAGGGTGGTGCCCCCAGCCTTCCCTCGATTCTTTCAATAAACACTCGCTGGCCTTCACGAGCACACTCAGGACACAGGTCTCCTTGCTGGCATTGCTGGGCCTTTCCCACATGGGGAAGAGGCTGGCTTCAGTCTGGAACCCCCTCCCGCCCCCCAGTTAAGCCTTCCCTGTGGTCCCCACAGAGCCATGTGTCCACCTTCTCTGTGTCTCCTGGTTGCTTGCATGGTTTGGGGGTGGGGGCATGGGTGTCGTACCCTCCTTCCCAGCACATGACCTCTTCCAGCAAACACGGCTCTACCTTGTTCTCCCGCCTTCCCCTGGTCCCTGTGGCACAGCGGGGTGTCTCCATCCATCCTGTTGGAGGTGAGTCTTCCCACGGCCAGCCTAGGGAAGGACCCTTTGACCTTCCTGGCCTGCCAGGGGCTGGAGAGTGGGGAGAAGGGCTGCTCCTGCCATTAGGAATGGTATCTGGCCTGGCCGGAGAAGGTGGGGGCCCTTCCCAGCTTCCCCAAAATGCAGAGTCAGCAGCACAGGTCCCATGTGGAGACCCGCGTTTGGACCTGTGTTTGGAGCCCTGGGCATGAGCCTCACACCAAAGTACTTCCCAGGCTTGGCTGCTGAGCACAGAGAGCACTCTTGTTCGGCTCCGCACCTTGCTAGTCCAGCTGAAGCTGATACATGCAGCAGCTGCCTGCAGTGCACAGCTGCCAGGGGGTCAGTCCCTCCAAACCCTATAGCCCAACCACTCCATGTTACTGCCCAGTGTGCATCCACTTGGCAACATCAGGTGTACCCTGGAATGCTTGGAAAACACAGGTTCCTACACCTCTGAGGAGACTTGCTCCCTCCTCGTGACCCCTCTCAAACCTGAGCCCTCTGGGCAGAGGGCAGACAGACACCCTGCGCATGCTCTATCTCACTCAGGCCTCCCACCAGCCCAGTCCCCAGGGCACCAGCCACTTGAATGGTGTTTCTCAGGGCCGCCTGCCACTGGTGAGGAAGTGAGGGGCTGGGTGCAAGTTTCAGGCAAGCCCTTTCCAGCTCCATGACCCAAGTCGTTTGCTCAGCTGTGATGTGGTGACAGCGCCTACTCCAGGGTGTCATGAGGGGTCTTTAGGATCAGCCAGCAAAGTCTTGGCACCTGAGTGCTCAATCACCATTGGCTGTTACTGGAGAGGAACGTAGAACTCTCCAGAGAGGTTGCACTTGAAAAAGAGGGGAGACCGAAAACCTACCCAGGAGGGCGGGGGCTCCTCAGTAGCCAAGCTGGCTGCCTTGCCTGGGCTCTGCCAGTGCGGCAGTGAGAGGGGCCAGCAGCGGCGAGGGTGTGAGGGCAGCTTTTGACCTGGGTCTGTCTGCCAAGCTGAGGAGAGGGGGTCCTCAGACTAGAGGGGAGCCCTGCTTCCCACCCCCTGTTCTTGGGAGGTGGCCCGGGCTGGGGATGACTCTCAAGAAAGGGGAGGCTCCGAGAAGAGCCGGATCCTCACCCCCAAGATGAGGTACAACAGGAGAGTCCCCCAAGAACCAGGCCATAGTAGCTGTGCCAGCTGCTGGGATTTCTGGATTCCGGAAAGAAAGCAGCGGCAGTGGCAATAGCTGCCCCCTCACTGCTAAGGAGTAAGACGAAGACCATTCTGTGCATTCTGTACACAGCCTGTGTGGGGTGGGTGGTCAGAGCCTACCAGGTGGAAGGTTGAAGCAGCAAAGCAGCATGGGCACAGTGGTAGCTGTCAGCCGTCCAGTAACTCTTTTGGGGTCTGGCTCCCCCACCCAACCTGGTGGCAGTGGGACCCAAGTGTGAAGTCGCTGTTCCAGGGCATCAGCAAAGTGTTGCCAGCCCTCCTGGCGCTGCCTCCCCCTGGGCCAGCCAAAGGACTTCTGGCTCTGGGCCCATCTTGGCCCACATCCCATGAGCACTGGAGGGCACCCCACCAGAGAAAGAAGGGTGCCTCAAAAGCCATCAGAGTGAGCCCCCAGCAGCTGGAGAGAAGCCAAGGGAAGTTTGCCTCAGTCTGGCCTCCAATCAGTTCCAGCCAGTTCTCTGTGGCAGGGACCAGGACCTCCTTGATGGGGATCTCTGTGGGCCCAGAGTGTCCTTTCCAAGTGGCAGGGAGCTGGTCATAAGAGTTGGGAGGCCCTGAGAAGGGTTAGTGAAAGGAAGCCAAGATCTCTAGCCCCTGCCTCCTGCTCCCGTTCCTGCCACCTGACCAGCAAGCCCCTGCTTCCCTCCCTGCTCGTTGCTGCTCCTGGTCCGGACTGCCATGTGACACGCTTGGTATGGCAGCGAGGTGCGGCCCTTGTGACTCAGCCTTCCCGGCAGCAGGATTCCAGGACTGGGCTTCTGGGGACGGACACTCACCCGCCCCCACTGCAGCATCTCCTCACCCACTTTAGCTTGTGTCTGCTCAGGAGACTGAGCTCCTTCAGGGCAGCACTGCCTGCTCCTGGGGGCGCCAGGCCCTTCCCATGTTGCCCCTGGAGTTATCTTTGGAACTCTCACACCCAGCACTTAGCAGATGCCTGATGCTTTGCTTTGCTGAGTGGAACTGTAGGCATTTGGCACTTGGCAGCCTCTTTGACAGTTCCTGAGACAGAAGGGCCCTCACAGCCACCCAAGTATTCATCTTTCTGGTCAGACACTCCCCAGCACCTTCTATGTGCCTGGCACCATGCTAGGCACTGTGTGGTCCCCAAATGGGGAGGGTAGCATCTGCCTTGCAGAAGCTTGCAGTTCCTTGCCTCTGCTAGGACTCTTCCTGGGCAAAAGGGGAGGATTAGCTCCCGGCCGATCTTGGCCCACATCCCATGAGCATTGGAGGGCACCCTACCAGAGGAAGAATGGGGTATCAGAGAAGGGGTTCCACCCCTTTTCTGACACTAGTGCCAGCCTCATTCACATGCCAGTGGAACCCAGCCTTCTGCCATCCTCCTACAATGACTCAGGAGACTCTGATGTATCTCCTTCTAGAATACCATGCAATTGCCCACAGGAGGCCAATGACTTCAGAGGACCTCTCTGTCCCTCGGCTCCAACGGTGACAGCTGTAGCATGGCTTTCAATTGACCCTAGCCCTGTCCTCCGCCTTCTCTCACTCAAAACTGGCATCTCTTCCCCAGCACAAACAGCTCGATGAGAACAAATACGGGGAGGCAGCGATTCAACAGAGTAAAAAGGCAGCTTGCTTTATTCTCGAGATGCAGGGGGGCAGGGGCGCAGGGGCGGGGCAGCCTATCTGCCTCCAGTGTGGGGCTCTCCAGGCCTGAGGGGCTCCCCACAGGCAGCCCAGTCCACACTCACAAAACCCAAGGAGGTTGGAGCATCTCCCTCCCAGCCAGCCCACTCGCCCCTCACTTGGGCCAGGCCGTGGGAATCATCCAGGCTTCCCACTGTGGTCGTGGGGCTCAACATCTAAGCACCCTCGGGCCACTCAGAAGAGAAGCCCCCGCTCCAGATGGCATCGGGCACTGACCCAGGCTCAGTCATTTCTTCTTGGGTGGACACTGCTCCTCAGTCCCTGCAGTCTTCCTCTCCCTTCGTCACTGGAGAAGGAGGTGGCCCCCAGGGGTGAACCTCGAAAGCCCCAGCAGAGGCTCCCCCTCCCCACGCCTCAGAGTGGAGGCCACCAGCCAGGACAGCTGCTTCCCATCCATCCTCCCGCCTCCCCTCCCTCCCTCCCCTCCCCAGCCCTCCCTCTCCTCCTCTCCCACCTCCTTCCCAGCCACCGCTCAGGGGTGGGGGGTTCCACCTTGGTCACACCGCCT